AAGGCATCACAGATTGCGTCGATCCCATCGCCATAGCAACCCAATGTACCAGCATTTGGAGGTTTAGCTCCCCACGAACTCGACATCGCAACGTTGAAGATAAAGTACATGGGTTTTTCAACCATGACTTTCCTAGGGTTCATTTGAGCTGCATTCTGTGGTGAATTCGTGACAACGTCAGCGGTGATCTCATAGATAGGCTGGCCTTCGACTTCTCGTTATCTCCAGGCACCCACTCCACAGAGTACGTCACCAAATCGAGATATCCTGCCATGTGAATGCCCCAATTTGAAGATAACGCATCCATTTGGTAAGTGAAAGTCGATGCTGTGCTAGTAGATCCACCAGATTCAGTACATTCAGGATCGGTATTTTCTGCGTTAGAAAGGTAGGCTCCAGTGTAGGCATTCATTCTTTGGTTTTGAGAGTTGAATATGGTCTCGTTGCATTCATTGTACGAGAATGGCCACATACGGGCTGTCGAACCAGTGAAGATCGCTCGTCCTAAATCCCCAAGCATCCAAGTACCTGGCCACATGGGGTAGTAGTCGATACTGGAAGCCCTTGCTGTCATGGAGAGATTGGCAACGTCAGGATTACCTGAAACATTCGACACAGCGCCTGGAAGCTGAGCACGAACCACAGCTAATTCTCCTTGGATGCAAAATTTGTTCCAGCCTTGTACCATCGCGGACCGATAGTAGAACGAAACCTCTTCATATCCAGGCGGTGAAATGTAGTCGTTCCAAACCGTGATGTTGGTCTCCGCAATATCCGTTTCGATGTAGAAATAGCAGTTGTCCTCGTCGCAACACTCAGTCGTCGTCATGTTGGTGGCGTAGATTTTCAGCGCTGCGTTGACCCCATCGTTTTTATCCAGTGCAGTCCATAGGTGATATTCTCCAGCTTCGAAGCTGCGTCCTTCCAAGTTGAACTCGTCGCTCATCACGTCGCTCCTCGAGAGAATTTATAAGTCTGGACGCTCCATAGAGTATCGACGTCCACCCATGGCAAAACACCCGACTTGGTGGAGAACGACTGCTTTGCTCTTGTCATCGTGACCATGACCAACAAGGCAGCAAGGAGTCTACAGTTTATGTCGTCCAAACGGGTCATTGTTAGTGATTTCAATGCACGACAGGAATTTTAAAACGAACTGAAGGTCACACGCTCTGCTTGACACGTTGCAAAAAGTCATAAAATGTGTCGTGAACACTGGATCTTGGCTGCATTCATCCTGCCACTGATGCATACCATGTAGTTTGATCGAAGAAGATAGCACTTGCAGGTATGGCGTTAATTCATCACGACATTTGTTTGAATACCAGCCCACGTCATCATTCATCATTAACACCAATCTCATCAGTTTTTATGGTACTTCATAATTTTCCCGTTTTAGCTATAATACGACATCAAAAATGCGACTGTAGATACTACACCCCGGAGGAACCTCATAACGCCGTTAAAGATGCCGGGTAATTAAGTTTCCATGAATACGGATTGTGATCCGATAACTACACCATCTTTGTTTAGAGCTAAAGGAATCGTTTATAATGTATGTAAGTGCAACAAAATCATTGTATCAGTATTCTTTTTAGTATTTGGGTTGAGGTGCTAATAGAGATAACCAACATACTAATAGCTCAGAAATCTTGAGCAACTACTCGACATTTTTTGGCGAAAATGGCGAACCACTTCTGGGCATTCTGAATTGCCGCTTCATCGGTAATCCCAGCAGCTACCATTTCCTCTCGAACGTTGGTGGCGCCGTAGCCGCTCGCCTTCCATTCAGAGAAATATTTCGCCACATTCTTCGCCACTTGGCTTGAATGGCCTTCAAAATCTCTTAATTTCTGGTGGGCCAAATACTTCAGCCAATTATATTTCACGTTGGCCATTTCAATCTCCATTTTCGAAGCCACATCGTCGATCTTTTTAGCATCGATTGCGAACGCTTTGGCGGCAGCTTCAGCGTTGAGCCCCCTCTCTTCAGTATCCGATCCCTCCTTCGCGAGCTCGAAATTGTGCTTTCTCAAGCGTCGGTCAGGCACAGGTGGTACGCTAGCAGTGTTAAACTGAGCGTCTGACTCTGCTGAGGCAATGTGGATCCTGGTAAATAGGATGCCAGCAAACAACAAGAGCAACCCTTTCTGCAAGCGCATCGATCTATTCCCGCGAGTTGTTAAAGGTAACTGGTTCACTGCGTATTGTGAATTGACTTACTCCAAGAAGTAGTCGGTAACAAATCCAATGGACAATGTAACGGGGTACATACCCCAAGTGCACCCAAGTTACA